GTTTGCAAACAATTTGTGTATTGATATTTTTAGGTTTTAAGTTTGAAAATTTTATAATATGTATTGTCATATTTAACTTAGAAAATAAAATTTATATGTTCAATATAAAGGGTACAGTAAAAGTATCAATAAAACTGAAATTTGACTTCAGCGGGCACTAGAACATGTAGAAAGTCCTTAAGACGCCATTAGAGCAAATGGGGATTTATGAATCAAAATTTTCTTATTTTTGAATTCTTGAAATATTTTTAAAATGCCTTTAAAAATAAATAACAAATTCCTATTTTGAATTAAAATTTTGCTTTTTAAATTTTAGAAATGTTTGGGGTTTTTGCATTAAGCAAAAACGGGTAAAATGTAAAATCCCATGTGGAAATTTTCAATAGAGATATGGAAAAATTATACCTACTTAAAAAATTAAAATAGATTTTATATGAGGTTTTTTCTTAAAGAAATATAGGCTTTTATGGGTTTACTTAAGGTATATGTATCACTTAAAATCGTGTCGCAATTTCCCATACGGTTTTATACCAAGACCGATTATTTATTTATGGTATGTTTATTATTTTTATTTTTTATTAATTTTCATAATTGTATTATTCATTTTTCATAAATTTAAAATTTTTTTATTAATTTTTAAATTGTTATTAACTTGTTACTAATTTCATTATTTACTATTTTTCACATTTAAAAATTTTTTTTAATTATTTTTATTTTTAAATTTATTTTATGAATATTAAGTTTCTTTATAATTTTCTGACTCCAGACTCTACTCCATCGTCAGGGCATAAAAATTTAAGTCTTCGTGTATTTTAATTAATATTTTTTGGTAAGATAATTATCCATTAATTTTTATTTATTTATTGTTCAATTATTTTTTTATTATTTTTATTATGTAGGGGAGAGTGGTCCTAAGTTGGGTGCCTAATCAAATTGGTCGAAAATATTAACAAAATAAAATTGAATCACTTCGGCAAGTACATATTAGTGTTCAAAGATCGTTTTGCTATAATTTTGTGGTATTTAGAACGTTTTAGAATGGCTTTTGTAGTCTTAATACAGTAAATAGTGAAAAGCTGCATTTTGGACATTTCAGAAATAGCGGTCCTAAGTTGGCCACCACTTTTTTTCGCTTGTGTATAAAGAAGAAATGCATATTCTTTTCAATTACGCAGAAATTTTACAAATTTGATACATTTAGGAGAATAAAAACGCATTATTAAACTATTTTTGTTCAAAAAATAAAGGATTATTTTATTTCATTTATTTGCAGTGGTGGATGGCTGTGTAAACAGGCGTTTTTGTACTATGTCTTTTCTAATGTTTTTTAAACCATTTTTTTGTTATTTGTCTTTGTTTAATTCCTACGTTACACTTTTACGGTCTTTCTCGTGATGAAAAACACAAACAAGTTGTTCATTTCATGATCATTAAGCTTCCTCAATATAATATATACCAATCGTTTAATTTTTTATTTTAGAATAATTATTTTAAAGTGTTAAGATAAAATTTCAAAAAATACAAAATTTCAATTTTTTGTGAAAAATTAAAATATTTATTAATTCTATAAATTTGAATAAAATATATACTTTATATACATGAACCGATTCGTTTTTATGTCAGGAATGCAATTTTGACAAGAATTAATGAAAATTTTAATATAGAAAAAAGTTATTTTAAAAAATCCAAAAATTAATTTTTTCAAAAATTAAAAAATTGTTGAAAAAATTTTTTTTTTAGATATTTTCGAAAATCCTTCTGTCTGATTTTTGGTATTTGTGACCGTAATACACCTACAAAATTTTATCTAAATCCGTCAAGACATGTAAGAGAAAATTTGTCCACAAGAATGGGTGACATACACACACACACACACATACATACACACATACATCCGGACATTTGTTCCTCTCGACGAATTATATATACTACACTTGAAAATTTGTAAAAATAATTGATTCTAAAAAGTTCGGAAATCGACATCACTATAAGGCTTCCTTTATGAGGAAGCAAAACATAAATAAAAACAAACAAAAACAATAGGTGGCCAGTAGTATAGCTAGGCCGGTTCTACGTCGTATCGGTAATGTAGATTCCTACTTACCGACCGCTAGGGTAAGTTACAGGGCGTTAGTGGGGTATATGTCGGTAATTTACCGGCCGTTGGTGGGGGTATGAGTTTCTGTCACTAGATGGCGTTAGTGGGGTATGTACCGGTAATTTACCCGCCGTTGGTGGGGGTATAATTTTCTGTCACTAGATGGCGTTAGTGGGGTATGATCCGGTAATTTACCCGCCGTTGGTGGGGGGTATAATTTTCTGTCACTAGATGGCGTTAGTGGGGTATGTACCGGTAATTTACCCGCCGTTGGTGGGGGTATAATTTTCTGTCACTAGATGGCGTTAGTGGGGTATGTACCGGTAATTTACCCGCCGTTGGTGGGGGTATAATTTTCTGTCACTAGATGGCGTTAGTGGGGTATATGTCGGTAATTTACCAGCCATTGGTGGGGGTATAATTTTCTGTCACAAGATGACGTTGGTGGGGTATATGTCGGTAATTTACCAGCCATTGGTGGGGTACCTGATTTGCATATATTTAAATTAGTTAACCCTTTTAATTGACGTTAGTGGGGTATTTTGATTTGCTTATTTAACTTTCATTGTTAACCCTTTTAGTTTATGCAAATTCCACCCACTATCCACCCTTTTGGACGTAGAATATGCAAATACCACCCCCTCCCACCACCCACTCACCTATGTAAAATACATTGCTCTTAGTTAACCACCACCCCCCACCCACTTTTTTTCTATTATATACATATTTCCAATACTACCACCCACCACCACCCACTTAGTATAAACCAGAAATTTCAAAAATCATATAGAGAAGCGCAAGGGACTAAGCGTTCGCGAGATACCGCGCAGGCGTTGTGGGTAGTGGGAGTGGGTGGTGGTGGGTGGCGTGGTAAGGCCCAGTGCGCAGCAAAAGTGCGCGTACGGTTACCGCGTTGAGTGAGTGAAAGTTCCATGCAAGTTTCAACTTGTCTTTTTCCAAGACAATAGTATTATTTGAAAATCTTTAAACAAGTTTTAACCTGCATCTTGAATAGAATAAAGGTATTGTCTGAAAAACCTTTAGACAGGTTTTAACTTGCCTGCAGATAATAACAAAGACATTCCTTAAGAAACCTTTTAGTGACGTCATTTATATGCGAGTTTGAACACGTCTTCTAAATAACTCTTCATAAAGTGCAGGTAGTTGCGTGCGCAGCCTTTAAAGTGGGTGGTAAGGCCCAGTGCGCGGCATAAAGTTATCAGGTTTCAAATTTTTGTTTGAAACTAAATATTCGTTGAAACTTAAAATTCTCTTTTACCCTTCATACTATGTATAAAAGTAACATTTCAGCTACCTGTGACCCTATCATAAAAGTACTTCAAACTTTCTAATTTTCATAATCTTTCAACACGTAGTGGGGGGAAATTTTCACCAATTTTCCGCATAAGCATCAAGTCTACCTGTCATTGTGAAAACAGTTCTCTTCGTGAAAAATCGTCTCTTCATCAAAATATTTGTTGTGTAGTGTAGTGAAAATTGGATTTTCATAAACTCTGAGAAAAAAAATGGTATGTATTTTGTTTATTATATAAATATATATTTTTTAGTTTATACAAAATTTTATTATATTACATTATTATTAATAATAAAAATTTTTTTATGTATCAGGACCCTCGATTAAAGCCACGAGTCATGAAATTGAAAGTGTTTAATTGTGAAAAGATGAAATTGAGCAGAAAATGGATGGTATGTATAAATAATTTTACCACCGTATATATTACAATGCTTTAATGAAGTAAATGTTTTTTTCAATTAATAAAAAAAAATGTATATTTTTTCAGCATAAATTCGCCCTCGTGAATATCCTGGAGGGAGTAATAGGGAATAAGTGTCCATGGAAGTTTTTAGGCAAGAGGGATATACCGAGAAGAGATGAAAAAAGTTCAAAACTTGTCAGGAATAGGTGGGATGTCTTACCATCAACCCATGTACGGTTTCTAGAAGGACCTATTTATGATCAACGTCTATATAAATTATTAATAAACAGGAATAAAAAAAGAAGGAATGAAAATATTCCAAAAATTGTCTGGAATAGGTGGGATGTACCACCACTACCACCACCACAATCAACACTACCACCACCACCATCAACACTACCACCACTACCACCACCACTACCACCATCACCACCACCATCACCACCACCATCACCACTAACACTATTACTACTACCAATACCACTACTACTACTACTACTACCACCACCACCACCACCACCACCTCCACCATCACCATCACCACCACCACTACCACTACTCCCAACGTCACCACCATCGTCAACATCAACAACATCTACATTAACAGCTGATTTAATATGCTACAGCGAACCTCCACCTCATTTAAGACCTAGAAAATTATTGTCCCCCATTCGCTCCCCAAAGTATTCACCCTATTTTCCTCCACTCAGAAAGCAAACCCGTCCCTTACGTTGGAATAATTAAATTAAATAAAATATATATATATATATATATATTTATTTATTTATTTTTAATTTTTATACATATGTTAATTATTTTGTTTTGTATATTTTGTAAATAAAATATATTTAAACTATTATTAATAAAGTATGAGTGTCTGTAAATAAAAAAAATGTGTTACATTCTTTTCCTCCAATTTAATTTAACTTTTATGTTTTGAATTAAATAAATAAATGAAAAAAAAAAAAAAAATAAAATAATTTCAAAATATTTAAAAAAAAATTTAAAATAAATTTAAATAAATAAGTCGACTTTAACAGTAGGTTAATCAACAGATAAGTTATCATCTATAGGTATGTTTCCATACTATGATAAAATTACCATTTGTAGATAAACTTATCTTTCATTGATACAACTACGGATGTTACCCATGGATTTCTACTTTACCTTCCACGTAGTTCATCATGTTTTCAATACTCTCCGTCTACGGCGGTAGTGCAATAGTGGGTGAACTGTTAGTGGGGGAAGTTACAGGAGTGGGAGTAAGACCCATGGTAGGGAGAAAGGTTACCTCAGGCAGTTCCCGAGCCAGGGACCGTCATTCTGTTTTAGGAATCACCATCAGCAACATCTCCAGCTCCAGCCTGCCTGCCTGCCTTCCTGCCTGGAGCCTGCCTTCCTGCCTGGTGCTTGCCGTTCAGCCTGCCTTCCCGCCTGCTACCTGGAGCCTGCCTTCCTGCCTGGTGCTTGCCGTTCAGCCTGCCTTCCCGCCTGACGCCTACCTTCCTGCCTGGTGCCTGCCTTCCTGCCTGGAGCCTGCCTTCCTGCCTGGTGCTTGCCGTTCAGCCTGCCTTCCCGCCTGCTACCTGGAGCCTGCCTTCCTGCCTGGAGCCTGCCTTCCTGCCTGGTGCTTGCCGTTCAGCCTGCCTTCCCGCCTGCTACCTGGAGCCTGCCTTCGTGCCTGGTGCCTGCCTTCCTGCCTGGTGCTTACCGTTCAGCCTGCCTTCCCGCCTGACGCCTACCTTCCTGCCTGGTGCTTGCCGTTCAACCTACCTGACGCCTGCCTTCGTGCCTGCCTTCCTGCCTGGAGCCTGCCTTCCTGCCTGGTGCTTGCCGTTCAGCCTGCCTTCCCGCCTGCTACCTGGAGCCTGCCTTCGTGCCTGGTGCTTGCCGTTCAGCCTGCCTGACGCCTGCCTTCGTGCCTGCCTGACGCTTGCCTTCGTACCTGTCTGTTGCCTGCCGCCTGCTTGCCGCCTTCCTGCTTACCATTACAGTTGTAGCAGTATCAGTCAACCGGCTCGCAGTCGTTGTATTAGCAGTAGCCAGTCTTCAGCCTACCATTGCAGTTGCAGCAGTGTCAGTCAACCGGCTCGCAGTCGTTGTATTAGCAGTATCAATCAACCGGCTCGCGGTCGTTGTATTAGCAGTAGCCTGTCTTCAGCCTGTCTTGTATAAGCATTGCAGAAGTTAACGCAGACGTTTGATTCTGTAGGTTTTTTTTATTATATGTATTGCATATCATTATAATATCAATTTTTTTTTACTTATTACAATTGATTTTAATGTATTACAGATCTTCAAAGACTCTTTCCTCCTCCTCCTCCTCCTCCTCCTCCTACCGTTGAGGACACTACAGAAGAAGAGTTAGCTGTGGACAACTGTTAGCTGAGGACGTCATTTTTCTATTTATCTGTTTCAGCTTCTGCTTTTTTTATTTTTTTATTACCATGTCGCATATAGTTAGAAACCCATATGCAAAAGTAGCGCGAAGAGCACCCCGAGTAGTACCCCAAGACAGTATTAATGAAATTTGTACAAACTCACAAACTTTCCTTAATATTGTTCCTGGTGAATTGGAATCTATTAAATCTAAAACAGATCGTGATGATCGTTTGATAAGCGCATTTGAGTGGCATAGTAAGTGTAAAAAACATCTTGCTATTATAGCAAAGTTCTTGCAACGTAGCATACTTGAGAGACATCATAAAACTAGGATTGAAAATTTGCTATTACAAGTAAAATATTATGAATACCAACTACATAAACTTATGAAAAAGGGAGCTGGACTAGATACCTCAAATGATAAAATTAAATGGGTAGTTACTGACAGGGCCTTTAACAATAAACTTCAAAACGGAAGTATTATTAATATATCACATTTAGACACTAATGATTTCTTAGATGATGCTTACTCAGTTTTCAAAGATCAGGTAGAACGATTTTTAAGGGAAGGACCACTAAAAGTTTACACAGTTTTTCAAGCAAGGTATAAACAAGTTCTACCTGACAATACAATAGTTTTTGATATAAAAAATTTTACCGCGAGTACAAATGAAGTTTTTCCTACAACTAATTTAGATAACTTCTATAATGAAAATATTAAACAAATAACGCTACGCCTCTGTGAAGATTTTGAAGAAAAAGATTCAAATTGGCGACTTGATTCAATTCAGAGATTAGACGTAAATTTCAGTAGATACAACCCCTTGAAGGCTGGTTCTTTTATAGATTTACCTCAATCAATTAAAGCAAAAAAAGCTTGCATTAATGTTCATAACAATGATAATGAATGCTTAAAGTGGTCGATACTTTCCGCGCTCTATCCACCTCATACTGCAAACCCCAAGTATGTTAAAAGTTATATAAAATATAAAAATGTTTTAAATGTTAAGGGAATTAACTTCCCCGTTTCTGTTTCTGAAATTCCAAAATTTGAAAAACAGAACCATATTTCTATTAATGTATATGGTCTTGAAATTTCTAAAGGAAACAAACGTTCAAAGAATGATGATGAATTTAATGTAGTTCCACTACATATAACTTCAATCAAAAAAGAAAAGCATGTTAACCTTTTATTAATTCAAGACAATTACAATAATCATGAGGTGGACAAAGCAAAAACTAAATATCATTATGTTTGGATTAAAAATTTATCACGACTTGTTAGCTCTCAATTATCTCAAAAAGAACATAAGAAGTACATTTGCGATCGCTGTTTGCATTATTTTCATAGTCAAGATAAACTTTCTACACATATATTAACTTGTTCACATTTAAATAAAACGAAAATTATTTTACCGCAACCAGAAAAAAATATACTCAAATTTAAAAACATTTCAAATCAGGAGCGTGCTCCATTTATCATATATGCAGACTGTGAAAGCTTATTACTTCCTAAAACAGATTCTTCATCTATGGGAGGTAATACAGAAATTATTCAAAATCATAAACTTTTAAGTATTGGATATTATCTCAAATGTAATGAACAAAGATGTAATAATACAAAATCTATATATAAAGCATCTCCCGTTGATGAAGAAAATGCAGCGAAATGGTTTGCTCATGAATTGAAGCAAGTTGCTAAGAAACTTGAACCTGTATTTAAAACTATCATTCCGATGGAAGTTTTAAGTGCTAAGCAAGAGAATCTTTTTCGAAAAAGTAATAAGTGTCACATTTGTAAGCAAGTGATTAATCAGGGTCAGATTAAGGTTAGGGATCATTGTCACCTAACTGGTAAATACAGAGGTGTAGCTCATCAGTATTGCAATCTAAATTATCAGGAATTACATACTATTCCTGTTGTTTTCCATAATTTGAGTGGTTATGATGCTCATTTCATTATAGAAGCTATTGCGAATGAGTTTGAAGGTAAAATTGATCTCCTTCCTATTACTAAAGAAAAATATATTAGCTTCACAAAACACCTCCCAGAAAATAGTATAAAATTTAAATTCATTGACTCATTTCGTTTCATGGCATCATCTTTGGATAAATTGGCTTCATATCTGTCAGACTATAAAATAGTACATTCCGAATTTGAGTCTTATGATGTTAATAAGATCCAGTTATTAACACGCAAAGGAATTTTTCCATATGAGTATTTAGATAGTAGATTGAAATTAAATGAGACACAACTACCGCCAAAAGAGAAATTTTATAGTACCCTAAATGATTCTCATATAAGCGATGAAGATTATCATCATGCACAAAGGGTTTGGTCTACTTTTAATTGTCAATATCTCTATGAGTATGTATATTTGTATATGAAAACTGACATTTTACTACTCGCAGATGTTTTTGAGAATTTCAGAGACCAATGTCTTAAAGCATATAAATTAGATCCAGCTTATTATTATACAACACCTGGACTTAGTTGGGATGCCATGTTAAAATGTACAAAGGTTGAGTTGGAACTTCTTACAGATATTGACATGGTTATGTTTGTTGAAAGTGGTATTAGAGGAGGTATTAGCCAATGTTCAAACAGATATGCTCATGCCAATAATCATTATATGAAAAATTATAATGAAAATGAAGATTCATCTTACATTGTATATTTGGATGCTAATAACCTTTATGGTTGGGCTATGATTCAAGCACTTCCCTATGGTGGTTTTGAGTGGGTAAAAGATGTAGATACATCGTTTAACTTTAATATCGGTAATGATTCAAATTTTGGCTATATATTAGAAGTTGATTTAGAATATCCAAATGATTTGCATGAAAGTCATAGTGACTTACCATTTTGTCCAGAACACTCAAAGCCACCTGGATCAAAACAAGAGAAATTGCTCACTACCCTCCTACCAAAACAAAAGTATATTCTCCATTATCGTGCACTTCAACAAGCAATAGAGAGTGGTCTTAAACTTACTCAAATTCATCGAGTTTTAAAATTTAAACAATCTCCATGGTTGAAGAAGTATATCGATTTTAACACCAAGTTGCGAACAGATGCAAAAAATGAGTTTGAAAAAAATCTTTTCAAACTCATGAACAATGCAGTTTATGGCAAGACAATGGAGAATGTACGAAAACGCGTTGATGTAAAACTTGTAACAAAATGGGAGGGTAGGTATGGAGCAGAAGCTCTTATTTCAAAGCCAAACTTCCACACACGAGCTATTTTCAATGAAAACTTGGTTGCTGTGGAGCTTAACAAAACGGAAGTGCTTATGAACAAACCCATCTATATTGGACTTAGCGTTTTGGATATATCTAAAACATTAATGTATGATTTTCATTATAAATATATGAGAAACAAGTATGGTAAAAATTGTAAATTGCTCTACACTGACACTGACAGCCTTATTTATAAAATTAAATGTACAGATATCTACTCTGATATGAAAGCAGATATTTGTAAATTTGATACATCTGACTATCCTGCTGATAATATATATGGAATTCCGCAAGCTAATAAAAAAGTCTTAGGACTCATGAAAGATGAGTGTAATGGACGAATAATAACAGAATTTGTTGGCTTACGAAGTAAAATGTATAGTATTCGTGTAGATGGAGAAGATTTTATGAAAAAAGCAAAAGGTGTCAAGACGGTAGTTGTGAAAAAATCTATTACTTTCAATGATTATGTATACTGCTTAAAGAACATTAAAATACAAACTAGAGTACAATATTCTATACGATCAAAACTACACAACGTACATACACTGAAACAAACAAAAATAGCATTAAGTCCTTATGATGATAAAAGATATTTATTAGAAAACAGTACAGATACTCTTGCTTGGGGACATTATAAAATCAAAAACGACGAAAATGATTGTGATAATAATGATATTGTGATGTTAGAAGTTTAAATATTTATTGTTTCATATATTCTACGTATTTATATATTAGATGTTATATTTATTTATATTATAGTATTATATATTGTAAAAGATTGGATGGGTGAAATATGAAGATTATTAATAAACCAAAAAATTTGTTGCCAATTTTATGTCTACTTTATTTAATAAAACCTTGTACAATTAGCTTACATATTATTCAATATTATATTAACTTAATATAAAATTAAATTTAAAACAGTAATACCAACTTTATAACTCACACAAGTAAAAATAAATTCTTAAACCATTTCTAACTTTTTTCTATCTTCAAATCAAGTTAAAACCTGTTTGAAGGTTTCTCAAAAAAATGTCTTTATTCTCATCTACAGTCAGGTTGAAACCTGTCTAAACGTTTTTTAGACAATATCTTTATTCTATTCAAGATTCAGGTTGAAACATGCTTTAAGATTTCAAACAATACTATTGTCATCTCGGAAAAAAGACAAGTTGAAACTTGCTTTCAAATTTTTAGACAATACATTTGTCACCCTTCAAAATCAAGTTGTAACCTGCTAAGTCACGGTCCGTAGTAAGTATACATTCATTTCAATATAAAAAATATTTAAATAAGAAAAAGTTAACTTTAACTTTTCAAAAAGTTAACTTTAACTTTTCAAAAAGTTAACTTTAACTTTTCAAAAAGTTAACTTTAACTTTTCAAAAAGTTAACTTCAATTTGACTGGTATCATAGTGTTCTTAATATAAAGATTGTAGTATAAAGTATAATCTTTGTATTAAAAGAACACTATGATACCAGTCAAATTAACTTTAACTTTTCAAAAAGTTAACTTTAACTTTTCAAAAAGTTAACTTTAACTTTTCAAAAAGTTAACTTTAACTTTTCAAAAAGTTAACTTTAACTTTTCAAAAAGTTAACTTTAACTTTTCAAAAAGTTAACTTCAATTTGACTGGTATCATAGTGTTCTTAATATAAAGATTGTAGTATAAAGTATAATCTTTGTATTAAAAGAACACTATGATACCAGTCAAATTAACTTTAACTTTTCTAAAAGTTAACTTTAACTTTTCTAAAAGTTAACTTTAACTTTTCCAAAAGTTAACTTTAACTTTTCTAAAAGTTAACTTTAACTTTCAGAAAAGATAATAAACTATTACATGTCTGATTTTTTTATCCAACTATTATGTGAATTATCAAAACCTAACCATTTTACAAAGACTTCATCACGACGATTCTTGAGAACTTTTTCTATGAGATATATATCTGAATATTTCACTTTAGAAATTTCTTCTTCGTAGAAACCACCTTCGATGGGTTGATCCTGATAATCTTTCAACTTATATGTTACTGGTTTTGTTGATTTAACTTGAGAGATGGTAAATATTTCAGTTGTCCAGTTTGGTGTATATCCTTTTTCAAAAATATGTTTATTCTTGCTTATTCGAACTCTATCGCCAACTTTGAATTTTGCTCTTTTAGTTAAAATTTTCCTCTGTTTTGAGATACGTTTCAATAATTCTTTTTCATCTTGTTTCCTGACATCCTTGGGTTTCATACCAATAGTTCGATGTTTCTGGTTGTTATACTTTGAAATTAGAGATGGTAATATATCTTCCCATTTATAATTTCCTCTTAAATTGAACTGCGGCCACATCATATTTTTAAGTGTTCGGTTAAATCTTTCAATTATTGAAGCTTTCAAATTACTATATGTTGAATACAGTTTAATTTTATATGATTTCATTAAATTCTCAAATATTAAATTATAAAATTCTTTGCCTCTATCAGTATGTAAATTTTTAGGTATACGTCTATCTTTGAGTATATATTTCATAGCAGTAGAAACATCTTTCCCAGATTTACTTTTTACAGGTACTGCCCATGCATACTTGGAAAATATATCTATAACAGTAAGCATATATTTGAATCCTTTGTTAACTTTCGAATATGGTATCATTTCAACCAAATCTGCTTGCCATGTTTCATCCACACCACGCATTTGTACTTTACGACGTGGATAATTTCTTCTAGCTTGTCTATGTAATTCTGTGACAACTGCTAACTTTTTGTCATCCATTTTAAGGTATATATGAATACATCAATACTCAACACAATACTGATTCAAAGTTTATATACACACTTAATATATAATTTTACTTTCCCGTAATTCTTCAATAATACTCATAATTTCATTGTTATGACTTGGATTTCCAGCTTCTCGTGATGCTATAAGTAATCGTAAACGATCAACAAGTTCATTTGGATCATCCCAGTAGATGTAGTCTGAATATGATTCTTTTTTCACTAACATAGATTGCGGTAATAAATTCTTTTTCTGTAAAGATTCTCCTGTTTTCTGATAAAGCTTTGCAATAACATTTGTGTATTTAAAACTGTTGTTTGTACGAATAGGTTTATTTGGACTATAATTCCTTCTATGTGCATTAGTAGCTTGTAATATTTCTTTATAGTTGGCTAAATCATCTGAACTTATAGAATCTTCATTAGGTTTTTCTCTAAATAAAAGTTCTAGTAATCCATCTGTTTTAGTATATTTTTTCTTTCCACCTAAGTCTATGAGAGGACCATCAAAATTAATTTCTGTATTACCTATCATGAAACCTCTATCTTTAACTTTCCGCACTCCGTAAACCATATCCAAATATTGTTTTCTATTTTTATTCAATAATGTTATAAATTTATTTGTTAATTTGTCGGAATCTTGTTGTTGTTGTTGTATATTATTCTGCTCATAAGACTCTTGAACTGTTAAATTATCATTTAACATATCGTTTTGCTCATGTATAACATCTTGATACTCTTGATTTGATAAGTCATCAATTATATTTTCACTTTTTAAATTTTGTAAATCTTCTACTTTAGATATAGGATCATCAAATGTATAGTTATTATATGCAGGTATATCAAATGGTTCATCATCATCACTAACAGCAGTCTTGAATGTTGTTTCAAAGTCTTCTTCTTCTTCTTCTTCTTCCTTTTTTATTTTTTTTGATACATTTTCATTCTTGATTGGATTATAATTTCTATTCACCAATTTCTCCAATGGAGTAACTAGTGGTTGAAAAGTTTCTTTTAATATATTTTCTGCAGTCTCTCTACCACTTTTAAGTATACGATGTTTCTTGCGTATAGCATCACTTGCTTTTGCTATTTCATGAAGCGTTTCTCGTTCTTTCCGAAACATGTTTATATATTGATGTCTAAAATTATACTAATGAAAGTTGTAGACCAATAGATACTTATAACTGAATAAAGCAATCGAAACCTTTTCTATATCTTCCTTCATTTAAATTTCGGTCTTTGTCTATAACAACAAACCCATATCTATCAGAATTCCAACATGTTGAGCATAAATCACGAAATTGATTGTAAGTCATATCTGTATTTACATGATCGTTATAAACATGCTTAAGGTTTCTCTCATCTTGTTTAAAAAGTACTAGTAAGTTAATATTATCTCTAACAAGATGTTTGGGAATGTGGGCATATGTCTGACATAGATAGAAACTGTCAACGTTGACATGCCTACCCATGCAAAAAAATGCTCTTACATTGTCTTGCTTCTCGCAAGCAATATCATCAAAAATAAATACTGAATTTGGTTTAGCGTCTTTAGGTGAAACCACTTCTTCATGTTCTCTAAATGGAAAGTATTCAATACCATCAACTTTACTGAGAACTTTTTCTAAAAATTGATATTTTGGTTGTTGTAAAGACTTTGAATATAAATATATATTTTCAAAGCTTAAACCATTCGGATGTATGATTAAAGACAAAAGAGCATTTGTCTTTCCACAATTTGATGGTCCACAAAAAGCTGCACGAATGCTGTTTGAAAATAGACATCCATGACGTTTTACACCATCATCCTTGTTTGGAAGAAGGTTATCAACATTCACTATTGGGAGTTGAACATCTTGTACATTAAACCGCATCTTGAAATCGACTGAAGGTATAGGTATAAATATAGCGTTTATATAGCTGTATCCAATCAGTTAGTTGTGAACCACAGTCGAGTGAGGAATGATTACTCATGATAAAGTGAAAAAAAATAATAAAAAAATTTCTTGTCGCGGTCAAGGCTTTCTCAATACTATAATCAATAAATTACCATTCGAGTTTCATTTCCCGGGTTATCAATATTGTGGACCTGGTACGAAGTTAGCAAAACGTCTTGCACGTGGTGATTCTGGTATAAACCCTTTAGATGCAGCTTGTAAAGATCATGATATAGCTTATTCAAAAGATAAAGACGTGGCTATAAGAAATTCTGCAGATAAAATACTTGCTGAGAAGGCGTGGGAACGGGTTGTTTCTAAAGACGCTAAATTAAGTGAAAAAGCAGTTGCATTAGCTGTAACTAATATAATGAAAGCCAAGTCTAAATTTGGGATGGGGATAAAAGTTAATAAGAAATATAAAAAGATTAAGACAAAGAAATCAAAGAAGAAGAAGAAGAAGAGTAAGAAGGTTATTTCTAAAAAACATGTTACTTTAAAGAAGATTGTTAATGCTGCTAAAAAGTCTATGAAATCTAATAACAACTCTTTAGATACAATTAGAACTGCTATGATTGGTGCAAGAAAGGCTATAAAACAGTATGGCGGTAAATCTAAGATTATATCACCTCGAATTCTTCCTATACCCTTAAAAGTTGGGGGTATTTTACCTCTTGTACCAATTTTTGCTGGACTGAGTGCTTTAGGGGCGCTTAGTGGTGGAATTAGCGGTATAGTGAAAGCTGTAAATGAAGCTAATGTTGCTAAGAAAGAACTTTCAGAAGCTCAGCGACATAATCATACTATGGAATCCATTGCTTTAGGAAAAGGTCTATACATGAAACCATATCAACGGGGACTTGGCCTTTATATGCAACCTTACAAAGGCAAAGGATTATATAATAAGAAAAAAATATCAAAAAACTAATATTGAAGCTACCTCACCGTGCACTAAGTGATTATGATCTTCTAAAATATTCTAAAAGTTTAAAAATACCATATTTTAGAGGAGTCTTTATGAGAAATGAATTACCCATAGGAGGGCCATTTCAATATGAATCAGCAATAATAAATCTTGATAATAAAGAAGGTCCTGGAACTCATTGGGTTGCATATAAAAAGGTGAACAATGAAACCGAATACTTTGACAGTTTTGGTAATCTTTCACCACCATTGGATCTCATTGTTTACTTAGGTGTTGGTAGCTATATAAAATATAATCATGAAAGATATCAAAATTTTGATACGTTTATATGCGGTCATTTGTGTCTTAAATTTCTGTGTAATCAACTTACAATGAAGAATAACTTTAGTCTATATAAGAATGTATAACCAATTTCAAGCTTCAGTATACAACTAAACACTCAACATGAATGATTCTATCACTCTCACGTTATCAGGGAATTCTTCAACCCTTGAGGCTTCATACTTTCCACCAATTGAACTATCATCTAACAAAAATTATGTTCTTGGTCTTGTTGAACTCCTTACATTCAACTCAATTCCCAACATTGATAAGGGTGCTAATACATTTTATATAGATGGTTTCGATATAGAAATACCTACAGGTAGTTATGAAATCGAAGATATTAAAAAGCATATTGAACATAGAATAAGACGCACTGGTCTTATTTTAAAAATGACGGTTGATACAAATACATTACACTGTACAATTGCATCTAATCGTGAAATTGACTTCAGAAAAGAAAATGGTATAGGACAATTATTTGGATTTTCTCCCAAGTATCTTGGAGCAAATACAGTTAATGTTTCTGATTCAATTATATCTATAATGAAGGTGAATGCTATACGTGTTGAGTGTAATATTACAACAGGATCATATATTAATGGAAAGAAAGTACATACAATACATCAATTTTATCCTTCTGTTCCTACTGGATATAAAATCATAGAAGTTCCAAATAATGTCATTTACTATCCAGTCACCGTAAAGACAATATATAATATTCAGCTGCGTATAGTTGATCAGGACGGTAATTTAGTAAATTTTAGAGGAGAGACAATAACAATACGTTTACATATAAAATCAGTGTAATGGGAATTATTTACAATCAAAAAAGAAAAGTTGGTGGTAGTTATAAAAGTGAACCAACATGTGTAAAGAAAAGCAGTGTGAATATAACTCGCAAGGTGTTAACACCTCAGAATCAAATATTTCTGAAGAAACTTGGTCTGCGAATCAGACATTAAAAATAAAGAAGAAGAAGAAGCAGAAGAGAGGTGAAAAATTATATCTATTCATTTTGTGTCGTTGTTATAAGAAAAATGGATGAAATTCTCAGCATTCCAACTCAAGTGAATTTTGATGAATCTATAGCAAATTATGAAATTCATAGTCATCAACCATATGCATCATCATCTTTCAACAATAGTGATGAAATTCGGATTATAGTTCAGAATCAGGATTTATCTATTTTACCGAGTAGCAGTTCCTTACATATATTTGGACGCTTGACAAAGAATGATGGAAATACTTTAACAGAAAATGTTTCTCTTATTAATAATGCTATAGCTTACTTATTTGATGAAATTCGTTATGAATTAAATGGTATCGAGATTGATAGATGCAAATATGTTGGTTATACTTCAACTATAAAAAACCTGGTTTCACTAACTCCTTCTCAACTTATACGTGTTGGAAATGCAGGTGTCTTTGAATATTCTGCTTTGGATTTAAAAATGACTATAGAAAATGGTTATTTTAATGTAACAATTCCACTTAGTATGCTTTTCGGTTTTGCTGAAGATTATAAGAAAATTGTTGTAAATGCTAAACATGAACTCATTTTGATAAGATCACGAAATGATTTAAATGCTGTTATTCAAACAGGAAATCTTGAGAATAATGAAGAATTTAAAATTACAATTAATAAAATTGAATGGTTAGTACCATATATTTTACCATCTGATAACAATAAAATTAAATTATTAAAATTTATTGAGAAGGATCCATTAATTTCTATGAGTTTCCGATCGTGGGAAATGTATGAGTATCCTTTACTTCCAGAAAGTTCAAGAATTATGTGGCAACTCAAATCTTCATCTCAATTAGAGAAACCACGATATGTAATTGTTGGATTTCAAACTGGAAGAAAGAATCAACTCAAAGAAACATCCTGTTACTTTGATCATTGTAATATTACAAATGTAAAACTCTTTTTGAACTCACAATCTTACCCTTATGGAAATTTAAATTTAAATTTTGATCAAAATCAGTATTCTTTATTATATGATATGTATGCTAATTTTCAATCTTCTTATTATGGAAAAGATTCAGAACCTACTTTAGCTATTAATACTTTTAAATCAAAAGCACCTTTAATTGTTATTGATTGTTCGAAACAAAATGAGTTTTTAAAGCAGTCTTCAGTCGATGTACGTTTAGAAATTGAAGCTAGAGAAAATATACCTGCTGATACAACTGCATATTGTCTCATCATACATGATCGTATAGTTCAGTATAAACCAATCAGTGGTATTATTAAAAAGTTATAAGGAGTGGAGAGGGAAACAAAGTGGTGGGGGTGAAGTGGAGAAGTATATAAGACATATTTCTGAAGCAGATACTCATTTCTATTCTAAAATGGAGTTCATAGTAGACGTTCAAGGTTTTAAAAAACCCTGCAATGAATTTATTTTCAAAGAGTTGGCTATAGTTCCTCTGGAGGCAGATGCTCAACCAAGAGTTTACCTCTTTGAACCACCTTGTGCTTGGAATTCTCTACCTGGACGTTATAAAAGTGAAAACCTGTGGTTAACAAACAACTATCATTCAATCCCTTGGATGGCTGGAGATGTGTGTTACGATGAAGTGCGAACCATTTTACAAGATGCATTACGAGGAGCAAAAACTATCTATGTTAAAGGTTGTGAAAAAAAACAGTGGTTAGAAAAGTATTTAATGAATGTATACAATTTAGAAGAAATTGACTGTCCAGCGTTTAAGAATATTAAAACTGAATTTTTACCACCTACATGTACTCATCATATTACACAAACTGAAAATTGTGCAGTAAACAATATATTTAAGCTTCGAAATTGGTTTTTAAATGTAACGAGTGAACTGAGAAACTTCTCAAATGGTATCGACGAAGTGGATGATGATGATGATGTGAATACTAATTTAAAATCATTTTATGAAAATTATGAAACATTATTGTAATAAGTTTAATTTTTCTATATACATATGAATAAATGAATTTTATAATTTTAAAAAATGTTGTCTTTCTTTCTTTCTTGATATACCTACTCCTTTAATATTATATACTTGAAACATTTTTTTTTCCTTTAACTTTAATAAAAATTTACTTATATAATTTTATATAAAATACAATTAATTAAAAAATTATTTAAAATATGAAGGTAGAATAATAAAACAATCCATTTAAAAGTAATTTTTTTTTTATTATTTAAAACCTTTAAATATTTACATAATTTTTTTACAATATAACCTTAGAATATATATTTTATTCAAATTCAATAACATTAAATTTACCACCAATATACTTTAATCGTAACTTCTCCGATTGCACGGCTTCTTCCATCATTGTGAAGGAAGTAGGGTCATCTTCAAATAGTTTTGAAAACCTTGCCGGTAGAAAAGTGGTAAATGTAGCATCCAGGTCTACTACAATCCTAGAACCATATTTCGTCTGCACCTTGTTTATTTTAGTTACGTTATATAACTCATTCACAGTCAATTCAGAAAGCGGCTTCGTTGGTAGAAATCTCTCCATGCGACCAGTGGCGTTGACTTTTTGGAAGTCCATTGTTTTAATATCTGTAAGCAAAGAAAAAAAGATGGACTTTTTTAATATTAAATTTAAAAAAACTAATTTGGAATACAAAATGTTTTTTATTAAAGAAATGAAATTTACCTATCAAATGAGGAGATGATGCTGTAGTTGTTAAAGCTGCTAGTACTGCTAATGCTGCTGTAGATGCTGAAGCTGCTGGTACTGTTGACACTGATAATACTGTTGCTGCTACTGCTGGAAATTTTAATAGAAGTGTCGAATCGTTGCTTCCAACCTACCTTATATCCCTTAAACCCCCACTTTTCTTCTTCAACTCCCACTCTTTTACCCCCACTTTAACGACTGCGCACGCAACTACCTCAATGAAGAGACATTTAGAAGACGTGTTCAAACTCGCATAAAATGACGTCACTAAAAGGTTTCTTAAGGAATGTCTTTGTTCTCATCTACAGTCAGGTTAAAACCTGTCTAAAGGTTTTTTTTAGACAAGCTCTATTCTATTCAAGATGCAGGTTGAAGCTTGTTTAAATATTTTCAAATAATACTATTGTTATCTTGGAAAAAGACAAGTTGAAACTTGCTTACATATTTTTGGACAATACATTTATCCCTATGGTGCTATAGTATTAGTGAAGCAAGCTGTGAGAGTCAGACAGACAGGTCTGACGCATGGAACTTTCACTCACTCAACGCGGTAACCGTACGCGCACTTTTGCTGCGCACTGGGCCTTACCACGCCACCCACCACCACCCACTCCCACTACCCACAACGCCTGCGCGGTATCTCGCGAACGCTTAGTCCCTTGCGCTTCTCTATATGATTTTTGAAATTTCTGGTTTATACTAAGTGGGTGGTGGTGGGTGGTAGTATTGGAAATATGTATATAATAGAAAAAAAGTGGGTGGGGGGTGGTGGTTAACTAAGAGCAATGTATTTTACATAGGTGAGTGGGTGGTGGGAGGGGGTGGTATTTGCATATTCTACGTCCAAAAGGGTGGATAGTGGGTGGAATTTGCATAAACTAAAAGGGTTAACAATGAAAGTTAAATAAGCAAATCAAAATACCCCACTAACGTCAATTAAAAGGGTTAACTAATTTAAATATATGCAAATCAGGTACCCCACCAATGGCTGGTAAATTACCGACATATACCCCACCAACGTCATCTTGTGACAGAAAATTATACCCCCACCAATGGCTGGTAAATTACCGACATATACCCCACTAACGCCATCTAGTGACAGAAAATTATACCCCCACCAACGGCGGGTAAATTACCGGTACATACCCCACTAACGCCATCTAGTGACAGAAAATTATACCCCCCACCAACGGCGGGTAAATTACCGGTACATACCCCACTAACGCCATCAAGTGACAGAAAATTATACCCCCACCAACGGCGGGTAAATTACCGGTACATACCCCACTAACGCCATCTAGTGACAGAAACTCATACCCCCACCAACGGCCGGTAAATTACCGACATATACCCCACTAACGCCCTGTAACTTACCCTAGCGGTCGGTAAGTAGGAATCTACATTACCGATACGACGTAGAACCGGCCTAGCTATACTACTGTGGCCAACTTAGGACCACTGTAGATTTTTACAAGTTTCAAATTATTACGCCAATAAAAATTGTTCATTTCATGATCATTAAGCTTCCTCAATATAATATATACGAATTGTTTAATTTTTTATTTTAGAATAATTATTTTAAAGTGTTAAGATAAAATGTCAAAAAATACAAAATTTCAATTTTTTGTGAAAATTTAAAATATTTATTAATTCTATAAATTTTGATAAAATATATACTTTATATACATGAATCGATTCGTTTTTATGTCAGGAATGCAATTTTGACAAGAATTAATAAAAATTTTAATATAGAAAAAAGTTATTTCAAAAAATCCAAAAATTAATTTTTTCAAAAATTAAAAAATTGTTGAAAAAAATTTTTTTTTTAGATATTTTTGAAAATCCTTTTGTCTGATTTTTGGTATTCGTGACCGTAATACACCTATAAAATTTTATCAAAATCCGTCAAGACGTGTAAGAGAAAATTTGTCCACAAGAATCGGTGACATACACACACACACACACACATACATACACACATACATCCGGACATTTGTTCCTCTCGACGAATTATGTATACTACACTTGAATATTTGTAAAAATAATTGATTCTAAAAAATTCGGAAATCGACATCACTATAAGGCTTCCTTTATGAGGAAGCAAAAATTTAATTAAAAAATCAACAGAACCTCTTATTAAATATAAATTAAGATTATTTTCATTATTAAACATCATTTTATCATTTTATCATTATTAAACAGAACCTCTTACATTAAATAAAGGAACTAGCGCACACACTCATTTAGAAATTTTTAATTATTTATCTCTTGTAGCTGCTCTCGAAAAAACGAGAAAAATTAAATTTTTTTGGTCGTAAACAATATTATTGTCCTCACAATGCGTACAAGAATCTTAGATTATAATTAGGTCCATAAATTATATCATGGTTTATCAATATATCATACCACAAAATTATAGATTCGTCCAGTATACCATCTCTGAGAAATGCAGGGTAGCCAACTTAGGCCCACGGCCAACTTAGGACCACTCTCCCCTATAGGGGAGAGTCTCCAGTTGTGAGACACCTCCAGTTGTGAGACAGTCAATTTTTTTTAACATGCAATATTAAAAATCCGATTGGTTTATATAAAAACATTTCTTTTTACATGAGCCAACTTTTTCGTGTACGCCGAAGCGGATATATTAACTGTTTTTGTTAAATACCAACACTGTGTGTGACAATCGACTAAAAAGCGTTTTTTCAATAAATGCAAAGTACTTTTTTTCCAAGTTAATTAATTGGAAAAGGTAAATGTAATGCATTTTCTTTTAGTGTTTTCCTTATATTTTGTTATGCAATATTGCATTGTTCCAATCGACGGTTGAAAATGATTTAATTTTCCTTTTTCAAAATAGCGCCAATTTCTGGGTGTGAGACACAGCATATCACCAGTTGTGAGACGGTGTCAACACCCATCTGGGCAGCATAAAAAATACGACTTTGCAGGGATACTATTTAAATGTTGTTTTGATTTTTTTTTCTAGTATTTTTGGGCATGTCAAGTGGAAAAAAGTTAATTGATTCAGAAGAAATCAATTTTAATGCTCTTGTTGAAGCTATTAAATTGTGTTTATTTGATAGTCATATTTTGGCGAATAAATATTATTATTTAGTATATAATAATATATATTATTAATATATTTAATTATTTCTACTAAACATAACGTTTTATGTCAAACTTATTAAATTTTAGCAATTTTTAATGAGTGTCTCACAACTGGAGACATTTTTTTTTTGAAAAAAGCGATGTGCTCGGAAAATGTATCGTAAAATTTTTTGAGTTCATCGAAACACTATACTTTCTTTTAATAAAAGTTGCGTATTTCTGTTACCTTTCGAACGGTGTATTTTATTTACAATTTCGTTTACCTGTTTACAATTTACGGGTCAAAAATGAAACCCGTCTCACAACTGGAGACTCTCCCCTATACTTTTTATTATTATTTTAATTTTGTATATTTTTTTGGATAGACCTTCTGAAGAGGAAATCATTTAGATTTCAAAACGTTGGAGTAAATAAATATTTTATTCATTATCCGAATGTTTTCGTTTAATTGCCTTAATTTTTTAAGTGAATTCGCTTATTTTGATAATATAATAATGATTCTATCACTCGGTTTTTAAATTAATTATGTGTGGAAGTTAACGATCACTCCGAGTCAAGCGAACGGAAAAAATTAAAACAATTCCTTTAACGTTTTCAACAGCAAAGCTGTCCTCTTCAGAAATTATAATTTTATTTAATAAATTTAGACAATTAGTCCATTACAATATTAAATATAAAAATAAAATAACATTAATCAAATTATTACCGTAAAAAATTGCGAAAAATAAATTATAAATACATATTCAAAAATGAAAGAACAGAGGAAACGTCCTCATCTCAACGTATAAAACGTTAAAGGAATTGTTTTAATTTTTTCCATTTGCTTGACTCGGAGTGATCGTTAACTTTCACACATAATTAATTTGAAAACCGAGTGATAGAATCATTATTATATTATTATTATTGACCATGGATCGACAAGGGTCATACAACTGTGCTGCAAATATTTTCCAATTTTCTTCTTCTTTACAACAAAGGAGAATTTTGAAAGAATGGATTAACATCAGTAAACGTGCTGTTAGATTTACCACTCAACTACAGTTTCTTCTGAATTGTCGGACATACGATTTGACGCCTAAACACATCGACACAATTGATTCTAGTTTTGATCATTTTTTCTTGCATAGTAGTACTGGTAACTCAAAATTTAATTCTCTTCTTAAAGCCTTTAAAAATAAATTGTTAAATATTTTCGTCGAAGATAAATGTATTCACATTTATTATTTGTCTAAACAAATTAATAAATTTAAATTTGTATTAGAAAACAATTTTTCTCAGCTAAGTCTGAATTCTATTTATGAGATACATAACAAAAAATTGGCTCGATTCAAAAATAAAATTTGTAAACAGTCTGTTAAGAAATTTCGATTTTTCCAATGTAATCGTTTAAAATTAAATTTCAATAACAGTTTAACTCTCAACCTAATTGGTTTCTAAATTTATCTAATGTTGACATTCGTGATGATGTTACTAATGTTATGTCATTAGGTGAAACTTTTAAGTTTTATGACACTAATAATTATAATAACATATGCTTAAACACGGATATTGAATATATTAAGTCTGTCGAAAATTTTGTGTCTTCTTAAGAATTAAATGATGAAATTTCTAATAATATAAGAAGTAGTTTGATTAAAAATCTTAGTTCTCATAACAATAGTAATCTACGACATATTAATATACATGATAGGATTTTTTCAAAAAAATCTGGCTGAAACAAAATCATTTGTCAACCGTCATGATAATATAATATTTACTACTGCTGACAAGGGAAATGTTACGGTCGCATTGAATAAGACCGAATATAAACAAAAACTTGAATTACTGCTTTCTGATAAAAAGACTTACAAGGTCATTAATAGAGATCCGTTACCAAATTTAAAAACTAAAACTTATAAAATTTTAAAATATCTTAATAACAATGATTTGCTTTATAGAAAATTTAGTGACATTGAACTTACTCAAACTAATACGAATCTCTCAAAAATGTATGGTTTACCCAAGATCCACAAGAATAACAATCCATTGAGATCAGTTGTTTCTACTATTGGCTCAACAACTCAATTTTTATCTAAACAAGTATTTACACTTCTTAATAACTCTATAAAAAACCAAGATCGTATATACGTAACAGTTATGATTTCATAAA